AAAGTAGGGTCGGGTATGGATAGAACGGGCGCGGTAGTGAGTCTCCTCTTCAACTCCTGGAAACTCTCCTCGCACTTTTGACTCCAATCAAACCTCACGGCCTTCTTCGTAAGGTTGGTTAGTGGCTGGGCTATCTTCGAGAAGCCTTCGATAAACCTCCGGTAGTATCCTGCTAACCTCAGGAAGCTACGAACATCAGCGGCACTTCTTGGCGTATCCCACTTGCTCACTGCCTCGATCTTGCTGGGATCCACCTCAATGCCTCTTGCTGTCACAATGTGGCCAAGGAACGCCACACGGTCTAACCAGAACTCTCACTTCGAGAACTTAGCATACAACTTCTCACGGCGAAGGGTCTCCAGCACAATCCTCAGATGCTCCTTGTGCTGGTCGATGCTCCGAGAATAAACCAAGATGTCGTCGATGAACACGATAACAAACTGGTCCAGGAAGGGATGAAAGACCCTATTCATAAGGTCCATAAATACGGCCGGGGCGTTGCTGAGTCCGAACGGCATGACTACGAACTCATAGTGGCCATAACGGGTACGGAAGGCAGTCTTAGAAATATCAGACTCCCGGATCTTCAGCTGATGATAGCCAGACCGCAAATCGATCTTTGAGAAGACGCTGGCTCCCCTCAGCTGGTCAAAAAGGTCCTCAATACGGGGCAAAGGGTACTTGTTCTTGACTGTAAGGGTGTTCAGCTCCCGATAGTCAATACACATACGCATTGATCCGTCTTTCTTCTTCACGAATAGGACGGGCGCACCCCACGGCGAAACACTCGGTCGAATAAAGCCGAGCTTGAGTAGTTCCTGGATCTGGGCCTTAAGCTCTTGAAGCTCCTTCGGCGCCATACGGTAAGGGGCCTTAGACACGGGGCCAGCTCCCGGTACTAAGTCAATGGTGAACTCCACCTGGCGGTCGGGTGGTCCTCCGGGCAGCTCATCGGGAAAAACATCAGGGAATTCGCAAACAATAGGAACTTGCTCCGGAGTACGCTCGGAATCATCCTCAGACACCATAGAAACAAGATAGCCTTGGCAGCTACCCTTGGAAAGGCTCTTCCTAGCTTGCATAGAAGAGATAACTCGAGGTACAGTCCTCGACTTCACCCCAAAGAATACAACTGACTGATCAGAAACGGGAAAGAGAGTGACTTCGCGCTCCTGGCACCGGATGTCGGCTCGATAGCGAGTGAGCCAGTCCATGCCTAAGATCACATCGAAGTTTCGCATTTCAATCACATAAACACTGGCCTCCAAAATGTGTCCACCAATACTGACTG